TCTTCTCCTGGCGCTTGTGAGTCAAAGGCACCAATGCTAGCTTACTAAATTATGTATATATGATGCTAGTTGTCTTTGTGACTCTTGCATTTTTGTATGAGCCTATGTGGTAGAATAGTTGTATATGTGATGACCAGCTGGGTCTAGCTGTTATTATTTTGTTATGTTCTTTATATGTGACTGAGACTGCTGATAGTCTCTTGGGTTGCTGATAACCCACCAGGTGTACTGTTAGCCCACTATGATTATTGATAGTCTCTAGGGTTGCTAATAACCTACTGGGCGTGTTGTAGCCCACTAGGATTGTTGATAGTCCCTAGGGTTGCGGATAATCCATATTTGTTTATTTGTGTTGCGTTGTGTGTGGTATTTTGAGGAACTCACTAAGCTTTGTGCTTTCGATTTATAGTTTACATGTTTCAGATTTTCTTATATTAAAGGATGGGCATCGCTCGATTGTATTGCATCAATGGGGGATGTGTGTACTTGATAACTTTTAATGATACTCTAATAAATGTGTTAAGATTCTTACAATTGTGAATTAAATAAATATTTAAAGTTTTAATCGAAAATTTTTGGTTGAAATTTGGGGCATTATAAAAAAAATGAAAATACAAATACAATTGAAAATAATAAAAACAAAAACAACCATACCAATATCATCTCATAACAATTAACCTTACATTTTTTTATTGTGGCATTATAATTTAATTTATTCACTTTTATTCAACTTAAATAGAACAATGACATGATCGTTCAAAGTTCAATAGTCTAATAAGAAATCATATGAAACTTTCACCAAACTTACAAAACCAAACCCATAAAAGATGAACATGTCTTAGAGGATGAAACAAAAAAAAGTATACAAGATTCTAGATAAAGATCAAGAAAACAAACCAAACACCTAAAAACTATACACCCAAAATCAAATGTACTTTGTAAACATGGTGTCATGCTCAGAAATCTAACCTCTTGGTGTAGTAAACACAAATAGTTGGATGTATAAGTCCATCAAGCATACACTATCTTTGGACAAACCCCACAAGGAATTGACACTATTTCCCCTATTATCAAACTTAAACCCTGACCCAAATCCCCCTATGGACATCTATAACATAAATTCCCAATAGGAACCGAATGGTATTCCCCCAATCCAGTACTCTTCACATCTATAATCATATTATCTGAAACCATAGACTTTAATATCTCACTTAGTTGCTGACTCATGTAATCGGTTTTAATTTGCCTACTTTTAACACACACATACACACACCAAAAAAAATTGTATACTCCATAAGCAATTGCAACCTTTAGTCTACGAATGATCTTTAAGGAAAGGATTTTAAGGTCGTTAATGAAGACTTGATCAAGTTCCCCATTTGCATACCATGAACCACCTCTGATCTCTTTTGATGGCTCGAACTCAACTGCAATATAGTGTTTTCTGTCATTCTGTAACACTCGATAATTGAGTTATTAGTTTTATTTATTTATTTTATAATTTATCTTGGGCCTAATGGCATAAAAGGTTTTTGGTTTGGACCTACGTTGATGGACCAAGAATTTGGGTCGTCCATAAGATGTACGCTGAGCTTAGCCTTGGCCTACGCGGGGCGTAGAGTCACGCATCGGATTCGGGGGCGCGCACACGTATGCGTAGTGTACCAAGTTTACACGCAACGTATGTAAGCAGGAGCCAAACCCTAATTTTTAGGGTTTAAGGCATATAAAGGCTTCATTATAGCCATACTCCTGGTCTCCTTACCAGTCTCCACCCTCAGAAAACCCTAATACGCCTTTCCTACTCCATTGATAAGTGTGTTGACCTCTTGAGCTTGTTTTGAGTAAAGGAAGGCTTAGAAGAAGTGAAAAGAAGTTGAAGGAGAAGAACCAAGGTGCAAGGAGCTCAAGGATCTGGAACTATTTCCTCCTTGGGATCACAAAGAAGGTATAAAGCTTTAAACTTTCCTCCTAGAAGTGTAGATCTAAGAACATGGAGTTTTGGACATTTTTAGGTCCAAAGGATGGACCTTTATTATACCATTCCGTTTTTTAGCTTGGGATTTCCATCCTTGAGGCTCAAAACATTCTTTTAGCAGTGAAGTTCCAATCTTTGAGGCTCTTTTGAATCCATGCATGAGATCTAGCCACTCTTATGAAGTTAGTTGCCATTATTCTATGTTTGGGCTCACTTGGTGGGTTGCAAACCACCAAGTGATCGACTTTAGGAGTTAAGACATCAAAAAGGACTTGGATATGTAGTTATAGCCTGTTAAGTGGAGTATTAAGTGCTTAATGGAGGTATAGCTTAACAGGGTGGTACGCTGGGCGTACCAGCATGTACGCGCACCGTACAAACCATGCAGCGAGTACGCCCCGCGTACTCAACAATATTGGGCTTTTATCTTTTTGGGCCTCGGAATGGCCAGCTATTAGACTTATTATCTACTGGGCCTTAATGGGCCATCAGGGGTCTGTTTATAGACTATGGACGTCTATGGGATGCTTTAGGCCCATTTGAGAAGCTGGGCCCAATTTAGAAAATTGGTCCATTGGAGGATCTGTAGTTGGATCATTAGTGGACTCGGAAATATTAAAGGGATTTGGGCCTTGGATATGATCCACATCTTAGCAGGGGTAGAATGGTCATTTACCCATAAAGAATCTCCAGTTTTTGACAAATGTTTGTTTGGTCATGATAATTGCGAAGTAGCTGGAGCAGCAATCAGTATTACCTCGTATGAGTTTCAGCAGATTTGATAGGTGAGTTTTCTTCTAGTAGGAATGGGTCTAAGGCACCAAGGCCGGCCCGTTTAAGTAGTAGAGTATGTCGGGGTTAGCCAGATGCAGTTTGTGTGTTTTCGGACTTTGGTCCTATGTCGGGGCGGTCCCGAGAAGTAGTTATATATGTTTGATGTCTTTGTGATTCATGCATGTTGTGTTATGTGTTCCGGACTCCGATCCGATATCGGGCAAGCCCGATGTAGATTATGTGATTATGTAATGTGTTTATGATATATGTTATGTTGAGTATGTGTCGGGGTGAGCCCGATGCCCGATGCAGTCGGATGTCAGGGTGAGCCCGATGCCGAACAGGAGTCCGATGCCGGGTAAGTCGATGTTGGGATTCGTCCTGATGCAGTTGGGAAGAGTCCCAAAGTTATGTTAATTGTTATATGTGTTTTGTATGGTATGTGGTAACTTGGGGGAGCTCACTAAGCTTCGTGCTTACAATTTTCAGTTTTGGTTTCAGGTACTTCAGCTAGTAAAGGGAAGGGCTCGAGCTGATGGCATAGCACCACCCATATTGATTCGGCTAGATCACCACATCCTTTACCCAAAAATACACAATTCAAAAACAAATGGTAAACACCACGCCAATCCTACAACCTATTACTTGGGAGATCAATCTCAATGCACTAACAATATTTTAAGTGTATTTGAACTTCTTGTATAAAATATCGCATCTCAAGGCTCCAGACAATTCAAAGTCACGAAGAATCATTTTGCTTTACTATCTTGGCTTTTTCTTTCAACACCCTTTGATGCCCGTGTCACACTTTTAAGTATCATTTAAGGTTGGTGGGTGTCATACCATACTCATTATACTTTTTAATTGTCGCGGTATTTTTTACCACATCCCACAAAACTAGTGGGTGTCATATCACACCTTACCACACTTTTTTTTTTAATTGAATAAAATGTAATAAAGTAAAAAAGCATTTTTAGTTTTTTCCTTTTTTTAGTTGAATAACATGTATTTAACTAAAAAAAACTTCATTACTTTAATCGAAACGATTACATTCCTAAAAATGATAAAAAAAATCATAAAAACGATTACAATCCTAAAACCACTTCTTCTAGCTTGAGCTTATCCACTTCGTTCAAATCAACCCCAAAATGAGCACCCGGTGAAATAGTGTAAGACGTCTCAGAAACTTTGGTTCATTTCGAACCACCTTCTTCGCTACCATATTCTTTTATCCCTTTCCGGGAGTTGGATAAAAAACTCAAAACATCAAGAAACTTGAACGACTTCTTATTATCAATAAGATAAATTTAAGGGTATTCTCTAAGATTTGCTCATCATCTTCCCTGCTTTCTGTTGTGTTAATCTCGTGAAACTTGCTAGTACATTGGTCTTTAATTAGTGCGGTACTCTCCACGATCCATGATCTTAAGAAAACAATCACTTATCCGTCGCCAAAAATATTCATCTTTTTGCTTGTTTCCTTTGTTGAAATCCTCGAAAATATCGACCTAAGATTGTGCTAAAACCAACTCTTTGGCCGGTTTCCATTATTGAGATGTCATCTTTTCTTTTTGAACCGATGCTTTTGCTTTTTTTTTCTGCATTTTTTGGGGTTGGATGATCCGGGTTGAGTTTCCCGAACAATTTCGAGATCAGACTCGGCTACCGGTTCGGGATCGGATTGAGTTTCCCGAACAAATTCAACTTCCGGTGAGTGACCGTATTTTGGGGAGCAGGGAATTTTTTTGAAATGTGGTTAGGCTAATAGCTTGCATCATGTAAAATTGCTGTAGTATTTGTTGATAGAAAAATTGTTAGGATCAGGGTGAGATTGAAGAAGGATCCATTTGTGGCCGGTAATCCGACAACTCAATTGGACAAACATTTGCACACGATTTGCCACGAATGGTAAATTGAGGGTTGTTTGGATTCATTTTTGGAGTAGAAATGTTTCAAAAGTTTTATAAAATGAAAGTAGCTTGCATGTGAAATATATAAAAGTGATAGCTTGTATTTATAGTTGTTTTTGGAAAGAAAAAAAAACCGAAAAATATGCAAAATAGTCATTGCCAACAACTATTTTTTCTTTTTACACGTGCTAAATCTATAACATGACCAACCGCATTTTTTTTCGGTTTCGATAGAGTGTTTACTGCATATGGCAGCTTATCACATAATGCAGTAAACGGTGCACCATGTAGTCTAAAGTATAACATAGTTATACCTTTTATATACACAAAAACCAACCCTTACATAATACAGTTAACACCAAAAGGCTTATGACCAAACATCATTAGATTGAATGGAAATGTGAGTCAAGAGGTTGATGGTTAACTGCTCTAAAAAGAAAGAATAAAAAAATGTTTGTTTCGAGAATATTCAAAAGCAGCATGCAGTAAAAACTTTTAAAAACTTCAAAAAGAAAATAAAAAACAAACATCTCTTCTATATCCAACAGTCTGAGATACAAACATTACAAAGATGTGTATAATCCCTTCATGTTTTCATGAAACAGCTAAGACCAAAAGTTTTTGCCTTCATTGTTGTGGAGGCGGCCCTCCTGATGCCGCCGGAGCACCACCTTGTCCTGGCGGTGGCATTGCGGACGGAAGAGACTGTGGAGGGTATTGTTGATATGGTCCCGGAACCGGTGGTGGTGGATAATACTGCTGATAATATCGTCCACCACCACCACCTTGAGGAGGAGGCGGTGGTGGCGGGTATGCAGCATACTGTGGACCACCACCACTTGAAGCATGACTTACGTTTTCACCCGACCCACTACCCCCACTACCATCTTGACTCCGAATCACCGCCCCCATCCTCTGAGGATCCATGGGCGGGTAAAACGCCCGTCCATGATGGTCCGAAATAATGCATCTGCGGCGGTGGCATTTGGTTGTCCTGACCGGGCGGTTGTATCTGCGATACAACCGCACGGGGTACCAGCCCGGCATGATCCACATGCCGACTTCATTGGGGCCCGCTTCACCACCATCTAGTTTCGGTGCTTGTGGTCGGCCCCACATGAGTTTTAACCGGAGGCCTTTGATGACAAGTTTGTTTGAAAGTTCATTGGCCGCATTTTCTGCTCCTTCGCGTGTGGTGTACGTGATAAACGCGCATGCGCGTTGCGGGATAATTTTGACGGATTCAATTTCACCGTGTGTGTAGAAATTGTCCCGGAGGTCTTGCTCGGTGACTCTTGCATCAAGGCCGCCTATGTATAGTGTTCGAATGCTTTCGTCTTCTGGGGGTTCGAGTGACGGCATTTCACCGGCTTTGTTTAGTAGTTTTAATGCAACCGGATCATTAACTCTGCAATTATAATAAAATTTTGTTATATAATTAATAGGACACTGCATTTGGCGTGCATTGGATTGTGACTGATATCAATAGGATAAAGGCTACAATGTCAAATAAGATTATAATAGGAAATTATGTTATATAAAATAGCAAAAATAAAAATAGTGACATACCCGTAGTAACGGTCTTTGATATTCTGCTGAGATAACTCGCCAGTTTCAGGCATCTCATGTCTGTAAGGGCATTCAGCACCTCTTGTACATTCACCCCGAATAAAGAAACTGCAAATATGTGCTCGGTTTCTCTTATAATATGGTGTTGTCCTTTGAAGTTTCAAAATAGTATCATTTGGCCTTTCCTTCCCATATGAAGACTCATAATCCAAACCCGCTCTAGCCTGTTTTAATTAGTTCAGAATAAAGCCTTTTTAATAAAACAAAAAAAGAAGAGGAAAGGGTACTTAATGAGTAAATAAAAGAAACAGGGCCTAAACCTCCTTAATGAAAACAAAATAAAGAAGACTGGACCAAAAGTAATTAACTTTAAGCAACGATTACTAACAAACAAAAAAAAAATTAAGATTTAAAGCTTGGTAAAAAAAGGAAGGCAAAGCTCAAAATACGAGAAATAGCAATGTACTTTCATTCATTTGTGTACTATATACCAAACACTCTTTTTTTTTTTCTATCTATTACAACATTGTACTTTCAATATCTATTCTTATTAACCCATTGTACTTTCAGTTTTTTTCTTATTGGAAAAGGTTTAGAACATTATACAACATTATACTTTGAAGAAACTACCAAATTATAGCAATGTTCTTGTCAGTTTTTTTCTTAATTAAAACATTATACTTAAAAAATTACTGATATAGAGCAGTGGAAATTGATTTGTATTTAAATAACATTGCTATAATTGGGTAGAGATTTCAGAGGGCAATGTGGTAATAAGAAAAAAATAAAAGCATGATGATATAATAAACAAATCAACGCAAGTACATTGCTATTTCATGCATTTACCCTAAAAAGAAAATGTTACATTGCATCTTTCATGGGACTTGATATAAATGGAAAGTATGCATAATTTAGGGGCAAATAGAGTATATAAATTGGAAAGTTACTTACCCTAAGATCATGTTCTTCTGCAAAGTAGTCCCTATTTACATCACTCTTTGGAATTGAATCATTTGAGTTGATACTTAATGCAGTATCACGAACTTGAACTGGCAAACCGTATTCAAGATCTAATAGACACACTTGACAAACGTTTTTTTTAACTTGCTGCAAGTTTGACAAATCTCACTTTTTTGTATCTTGCATCCCTACCAGGTCTCCATCTGAAGACTGTGAAGGGTCTTGTGCAGATTTTGCATTCCTTATCATAATTTGCTTTTGTCTGCATGTATTGTAATGTTACTTAATGAAGAAATTGAGAAATGTATGCATCAAAATTAGAAGATAGAACAAGTGTTAGGAGATTACCATTCGAATGTAAGGATTGTCACCTAGGCATGATTCACATATGATTGGGAAGTCAGAGCGTTCCCAGCCATCAGCTTCAACATCTCTTAATATTCTATGTGCCATTTGTCCTGTAAAATGCAAAAAAAAAAAAAAAAAAAAAATCTTGTTAATAAATGTTCACAGTTGAAAATAAGCTAAAACCACTCTCTTTGCATATTTCAGTGGCTGTTTTTAACTTTGGTAAAGATATAACCATATAATGATCCACTAACACCGAACCTACAAGTTAAATTACTCTATAGAGTATGAACGATAATAAAAGAACTAAAACTTACAGAAAAAACAGGGCTTAAACTGCTTAATCACAACTAAACTAACAAAGATCCCGATTTTTAAATGCAAAAACGAAAAGAAACCAATAAGAAATGTTAGGGTTTCTTGGAAACTGTTGTATATTTTATCTAAACCACGAAATCATACCAAAGAGACGGGAAAGATTATAGATTCACGAGAACAGAATCAAAAAAATCAACTGAGACCTACCCAAGATTTAATCTAACAACTTGACATCCTCAGTCATTTACATAAAAAATAAATGAATAAAATTATTCAAATGAAGGTATAGATGAGGAGTTATTACCTGATTCTTAGTTGGAGCGATGTTGATGGAGAAACGACGGATGCAATAGGGCTACGTTGGGGTTCTCCCTCTAATCCGTATCCGCGGAGATTGTTTAAAGATTTTTCGTATGCACAAAATAGCAGGACTTCTTATATAGCGATGACACAGTTACCACGACAAAGTAGTTAATTTTGGATTTAAATATAAAAATATTATATAGAAAAATTTACAAAAATAGCCCTTTACACTAATGATATTACAAAAATAGTCAAAAAAAATCGAAATTACAAAAATAACCATCCATTTCGCAGATGAGAAGGTCCCATCTGCGAAATGGGTTTCTCATCTACCAAAGTACAAGTGCCTAAAGCACAACTGTGCTTTAGGTGCTTGTACTTTCGCAGGTGGCCTTTTTTTTTTTTTTAATTTTTTGCTGTATATATAGGGGTTATTTCGCAGATGGAATAGGTCCATCTGCGAAATCCTCTGACTGTATCTGCGAAATCGTGGTTTTTTTTGAATTTTTTTTTTTTTTTAGGTTGACTATGAAATGGTTTGTTTTGACTACGAAATCAGGTTGCTATATAAATAGTTTTGTAGAAAAAATATCATTTTGGTTGTTATTTGTTTAGGAACTCTCTCTACAATTTTCTCAAAAAATGATTGAATATATGGTTTGTCTTGTAACCGGTGGGAGATGGCAAGTTAATGGAACTAATCTGGAATACATATGTCCACAGGGAGGTATTTCTGAACTTGCTTTGATATTTTCTGAGTATATTAGTTATAGTGATTTTGTATCTTTGGTAAGAAGCAAAATTGGTTTGTTAGACAAATATAGAATTAGTCTTCGTTTCCACCATCCTGAATTAAATTATTATATAGCTATAGTTGAAGACATGGATGTTAGAATGTTGATAAACGTAATAAAATGTAGTGGAGGAAGGGCTGTGAAAGTGTTTGTGGTGGTTGATGAAGTTGAGGAGGTTAATGGGGCTGGTGAAATTGGAAACCAAGTTGTTGGTAATTTATGCAGTTATAAAGGGAGCAACGATCCGATAGGTACTTACAATACTCCTAGTGTACCTCAGTTTCACAGTGTTGCTGAAAATGTTAATGTTAGTTATTCACCTATTCACTATGTGGAACCTGAGAATTACAAGTCTGTTGGTGATGATGATGTTGGTGCATATCTTAATCATGTGGGTGGTCGTTGTGATGATGTTGCCGAACAAGAAGTTAAACTTATGAATAGGCGTGTGGTAGATAAAACAAAAAAGAAAAAAAATTCAAGTAAAAAAAATGAAAAAAATCATGTTTACGGGCATTATGTTGATGTTGGTGATGTATGTTTAGATATAAGCGAGCTACAAAGCAATTCCGATAGAGATGAGTTGGGTGATGAAGTTAAAGCTAAGTTTCCCGATAACCTTTTTCACGGTATGCCCCCTGTACCAGCATGGCCAGTTGATATTAATGAAGATATCCCAACACAGATGGTAGACATGAATCTTCAAAAGATTCAATGTGAGAGTATATTTAAGAACAAAGAACTTTTAAAGCGGTGTATTGGTAAAAAATGTCTTCGAGAAGGTTTCCAGACGAGGACAAGTAGATCCACCAAATCAAGGTATGAAGCTGTGTGTGTTTCGAAAAATTGTTCTTGGTTACTAAGAGCAAAAGCAATTAAAAATTCTGATGGTCTTTTCCAAGTGAATAAATTTGTTGATGTACACACATGTTCTTCAACATTGTTGCAACCTAATCATCGACAAGCAAACAAATATGTTTTGGGTGAATATGTTGCTGATGTTTTGGCTGAAGACTATAGTAGAGTGTATCGGGGAAAAGAAATTGTTAACGATATGAATGCTCAATTGAATATCAATATCTCATACCATCAGGCATGGCGTGCGAAGCAATATGCATTGTTGTCGTTAAGGGGTTCGAAAGAGGATTCTTTTACCAAACTTCCGGCGTATTGTCACAACTTGGCCAAACATAATCCGGGTACTGTCACACATATTAAAACAGATGTTGATGACCGCTTTGAGTTTCTGTACGTCGCACTCGGTTGCTCGGTTAGTATTATCATATTATATTAATTTTTAATTTATATTTTGGTGTATTTGAATAGATATACAATGTATGGTAGGTACGCGCTTTTGTCAATTTTGTAAACCGACCCTAGTAGTAGATGGAGCTCACCTAAAGGGCGAGTTCAAAGGTACCATGTTACTTGCAGTTACTAAGGATGGACAAAACCAAATATTACCGGTTGCATATGGTATATGCAAAAATGAGTGTACCGATTCTTGGACATGGTTTTTTCAAAAACTACGTGATTGCATAGGAAATATGCAGGAGCTTACAATTATATCTGATAGGTCTCCATCTATAGCAACATCCGTTGCCAACATTTTTCCTCACGCTCATCATGGAATATGTGGTGTCCATTTGTATTTCAACATAGTCTCTAGATTCGGCAAGAGTAAGACGGTTAAAGGAATTTTTTGGGAGGCGTGTAGGGCGTACACAGTTGATGCTTTTGATGCCGCCATGGATGTTATGAAAAAGACAAAAGAACCAGTATGGGAGTATTTGAAAAGTATAAATCCAGAAACTTGGTCCAGAGCACATTTTAAAGGGAACCGATACAATCTTATGTCGTCCAACAGTGCGGAGTCTATAAATGCATTATCTAGACACGCTCGTAAGGTGCCAATACTTATGTTGATCGATTTTTTTCGTGCTACAATGCAACAATGGTAGTTTCAAAGACGTAACTTTGCAGGTATTAAGTAAATTTTTAATATTAATGTTTTATTAATTTTGATGTTATTGATCTTAACTTCTTCATTTTGGCTCTTTTTTTAGCGGAAACAACAACAATTCTTACCCCTTGGGCGGATGAAATTGTAAAAGAGAACAAGAAAAGTTTTAGCAAATGGGATGTTCGCATGATCTCTAATACGAAATGCGAGGTAAAAAAGGGGGCACAAAATGTGATTGTTGATTTCAAACATATGACATGTACATGTAGGCATTGGCAACTTGATGGGATACCTTGTGGTCATGTCATAAGATGTTTAACAGTGAACAATTACGAAGACTGCTCGAGGTATGCATTAAATGCTTACTTTACCGAAACACTGAGGAAAACATATGAGGAATCAATAAACCCTCTGCCAAAGCCATCCGAATGGGAGATCCCCGATGATTTGATGATTGTTAAGCCACCAATAATGGATAAACGTCAGCCAGGCAGGCCAAGAAACACAGACCGCATTCCATCCCAAGGCGAGGGTCCAATTATAAAAGAGTGTTCTACATGTGGTCAAATTGGACACACGAGAAATAATTGTACTGGAAGGGCGTTTGGTAGCGGAGCACGTCACATAATTTCTACTGCAGAAATGGCATTTAATATTGGTGGTTCAGCGAGTTGCTCACAAACCTATAACGCTGATTTTGATATAAAACATCCTTGAAATGAAGAGTATTGACGAGTTGTTAACTTATTATGTATTGTAATATTTTTATTAAATCTTACAAGACGTTGCTATGCTATCATATTTTTGTTTAGTTTGTTGATTGTATCAATTAGTGAAGACTTTATATTAAAAAATATAGTTTGCAGATTTTTTTAACTATTACAACATGTTATTTAAAAAAACAACAAACGATCCTTTTGCAACCTAATCTGTAAGTAATTTTAAAACTCAGGGAACTGCAACATAAAGTCGATATTGTATTAAACTAGACAGTAATGACAAGTCCAACTTTGAAATGACTAGAGATAAATTACAGTTTGACATGACAAAACACTGTAGTAACCTGTATAGATAGACAGTAATGACAAGTCACTGTAGTAACTTGCACATAAAAGTGGGGCCCTTAAGGGACAAGAGATAAATTACAGTTTGACATGACAAAACACTGCATAAAGCTGAAAATCGTAGTCCAAATATAACCATTTCGTAGTCAAAGTATTAATTGATAGTCTATTTACTTATATAAATAGATGTTCACGATATAATAACCAAACACCCGAATCACCTAAACGAAACGAATTCCCATTATTAGAAATGTCGTCGAATGCAGCAAGTTCTTCGAATGAAGTACCTGGTTCCAATTCTGAAAGGCCATGGACGACAAACGAGGTGTTAGTTCTAACACGATGTTGGCTAAGTGTTAAGGAAGGTGTATGTTTACTTGCTCCCCCGCATTGCCTAATTGGTGATGAATGGAGTCGCATCACATCTTTGTTTAACCATGAGATGGGAGAAGGGCAAAAAAGAGAAAAATCAGATGTTGTTACTAAGTGGACGGATGTAAAGGAACAAGTGACATGGTTCAATCGAGCATGTGGTTATGCGAAACGTAACAATGTTCGTTATCGTGACGAAGAAGAGTTCTTGGAAGTTGTTACAGAGTTTTATATCTGTCAGCATGACGGCAGAGACTTCGAATATGAGGAAGTTTGGAAGGTTGTTAGAGATAAACAATATTTCAAGTAGACGACTCTATCTTGTGTTAAGAATAACCAATGGACTTGTGTTTTACGTTAATGCTTTGTTCGTATTATGTCGTTGTTTTTCATGTAATTGTTGTGATGTTTTTAATGGTTCATGGAATCCTTGTTACTAATGTATTCTAATATATTGTGATAACTAATGCAATGACCATTTATTAACTCAAGTTAATCATACGAGTTGCTCACATAATAAACTAAAATACATTTTATATAAAAGAAATACATACGAAATACATAAATAATACATGAAAATAACCTACTACATGAAAATAACCTAGTACTCAAATAATAAACTAAAATAGATTGTAAACAAACAGGATATATTTCAAAATATTCCAAGGGGCTTCAAACTGGAATTCCAACCCGTTACTTAATGACTTGTATTCTTCCTTAGCAGCTTCCAAGATAACCTCCTCAGTAGCATTTAAACGGGTGTCGTCAATTTTGGTATAAAGATCGTTGAATAATAGAACTTCGGTTTTCATTTCATACCATCTTGCTAATATGTCTAGTTCATCACGATCGTTTGTTGTAGCCCTTTGGTTTTCAGCATTGAAAATTTTGGTTAAACGGGTCCAAAACATTGGATAGTTCAACTTGCTTGTCTCGTACACATGAATATAAGCATGTGTAAGAACCAAGAACTCTTCATTGCTCCATGATATAGAACTCATTTTGATTGAAACTAACAGAGTGGAATATAAAAAACAATTTTTGAACAGCAGTATTGGTTTATTTAATAAAGTATTTGTGTAACATAAGATCAATTTATAGTACTTTCTACACAAATTCACAGTCCAATCTTCTAATATGTCTGCATTTCATAGTCAAAATTAACTGACGAATGCAGTGTACTATACTAATAACATAACAGAGCACTGTTTGAGTTGACAAGTCATCCCCGGACGAATGACAACACAATACATTGCTGCTTGAATTGACAAGCCATTGCAGCAGCAAATGAAGGAGTCGTTATAAATAGATTTTAATATGCGTTGTAGTTGTTTCGTATTACTTCCATCCCTGCAATTATGGACTCACCACATTCATGGAGGAACGCAGAGGAGGTCGCTTTGGTTCAAGCTTGGATTATAACTGTAGAGGAGGATTTTCCACCGGGTCCCCCACAAGTTCGTGCTGGATCATTTTGGTCTCGTGTCTGTCATTTGTTTCACCATTTAATGGGGCGTAGTCAATATCGAAGAAGAAAAGATGTCAAAGCCAAGTTTCTGGATTTGAAAATGAAGGTGAAAGAATTTCAACGTATTTACAACGAGTTGGATTCTGAACATGCAAATACGGATGAAGACATTCTACGGCAGGTGGCTTTGGAACTATACCGTTTTGAATATGATGGTAGCGAGTTTACCCACTTAGATGCATGGAATGTTTTAAAGAATGTCCCTTATTTTTAATATGCATGTTGGTTATGGTAATGGATTTTCGTTATTTAAGTAGCTTGTTGTTGTATGTCTGTAGGCATCAGTATTTAATAAAAGTCCATTTCTTTTAATATGTGTTGTTTCCTCAAAAGCCAATACATAATACGACATTAATTAAATAACTAATACATAATAAGTCATAAAATATGAAAGAGGTACATAAATAACTAAAACATAATACAACATAAAATGTAAACAGGTTTCACGGATAACTAATACATAACACGAAACTAATACATAATACTACATAACATATAAAGGTGCTACATGAATAACTACTGCATTGAGGGAGGTAACAGGACCACCGTTTCATTTGGTATTTCCCAATGCACATGCGATGGTATAGTATTCACCAACTCAGATCCATATGCAAGTCGATACACATAACTAGTGAACTTATAATCAACCAATCTGTTTATGGATTCAGATGTACGGGTTCTAAGACATGCTATAGCGTGGGCACATGGTATACCGCTTTTTTGCCATTTACCACAACTACATACCATTCGTTCAAGTTGTACGTTGGTGGTTGCAAAATTATCATCGACTTGATATTTATCCCCATACAAACGTCTAGCATTCCAATTGTAAGACTTGTTGACAGATTTTTGAACTTTACCCTCAACGTAAGGGGTCAACCCACCAGATAACCTCCCTGAAAATTTTGATATTTTAATACAAATAATAACACATTAAAAAAAGTAAATAAAACAATCTCTCTTACCCGCCACGTCGGCCCGTTCAGCATACTTGGATTGTATCGACGTGGTGATTAACTCAATCATCGTTATTATAGGAAACTCACGTCTGGATATAACTTGCAAAATTTCAGGGACGTCAATCGATTTAACATTGTAGCGTACTCTTGGGAAAAATGCTCGTGTCCATTTTGAAATCGGAATATCGTCTAGCCAGTAAATTGGACTCCTATGCAAGGAAAATAAAGGTGA